CGTGCTTCCGGCGCTGATCCTCGTGCCTGTCTGCTCAGCCGGTGTCTCGGCTGTTTGGGTTACCGCCGCCGTTAGTGTGTCGATGTTTGCTGCTGTCACCAGTGTCGCGCTGGTGCTAACGCCCGTTGACTGCGTCGTGTTGTCCTCGGCCATTTTCGCTCCGTTGGGTTTTCGAGTTTTCTTCAAATGTGTTCCGTGCGCTTACGTTGCGTAAGCGCAGCTTAGAGAGGAGGGTGATGTAATGGGCCCAACTCCAATTACATAAGTAGGTAGATATTTCCTTAGTTATTACATAAGTTGGTAAAGTGGCACACGAAAGTTTCATCATCTGATTGGTTGATACTGAGGAGCCAGACTCACTTATTGACCAATCAGGTATAGACATGTGTTTGAGTGGTTCACATGAGGCCAGGGGTAGCCGCCCTGGTCCTAAATAAATCAGAGTTAAATTTGACACAAACCTAAGACTTGGTTTTACTATTGCGAGCTTCCTCCACACTAAAGTGTAAGCTAGTGACGGTATCTTTTACCCCGTTACACAAATGGCATATAAGTCAATACTAAAGTCTAGATAAATGCACTCTCGTGGAGCACACCATCTTGACAGCGCACAGCCAACGATGTCCTTGTGCATAGAGTCCTTGGTATAGTCCTTCGCCATTGCACGCATGTGTACCCGGTTGTAGTGCAGCCGCAAGCTGCACTGCCAGTCGCATGAGTGTCCTTGGGATGTGTCTTGCAGACTGGCAGTGGGCGGTGGCTCGTAGACAGAGGCACTGGACACTGGCAGACTGCATTGCACTGGCGCTCAACACACAGGTAAGTTCACAAGCTCACACTCCCACTTGATCTTGGCGACGCACTTGGAAGTCGACGCGATCACACACGCGCATTCTCGTTGCCACCATAGTCCTAGCAGTGGCGTAGTCCAAAGCACACAGGCAATAGCAGTCCACACAGTAACAGCACTCCCACTCGATCGCCCTCATCTGCAAAGTCGCTCAGGTACAGCCTCCGCATCAACAGAAGTAGCCAAAGCAGTAGCAGTAGTCGTAGTTGTAGCCATGTCATTGGATACGTTGTCGTCGCTCAACACAATAGGTAAGACCTTCATAGCCTTGCGCAAAAGTGTGATTTCACCACTGCAAGCGCCTTCGTCATGATATTAGCCACCATGTCATCAGCTCCGATGTGTTGGGTTGTAAGTTGCTTTAACTCGACGTGGCGTCTGATCATGTGGTACTTGTTGGCAATATGTTTCAATTTCGAATGCTTGCTAGGTTTTGCAGCTAAGGCAATGGCTCCTAGGCTGTCTCCAAGTAGTTTGGGTACTGGATGCTTCCAGCTCAACCCCTTGCATAGGCCAGCAAGCCACAACAAGTCCTTGCTCGCCTCTGCCATCGCAAAGTACTCTGCTTTACAGGTACTGCGCGCGCTGATCTCCTGCTTACGAGATGCGTAGGAGATGAAATTGTCGTCAAGCATAGTGATGTAGCCAGTGATACTCCGTCGATCCACAGGGTCGTTCGCATAATCAGCAGCGTAGTAGCCACTAACTTGCACATCAGTCTGTAGCTTCACATTAATCACTAGTCCCCAACGTCACACGTAGCCTTCAGGTAACGCATCGCCCTCTTGGCTTGTGCATAGTGCATTTGATCGTAGCTCGCAAGATACTTTCCCTGGTGTCGGGTAGCATGTGCTATGTCAGGTCTCGATGCACTAATAAGGTACAGGAGAGCACCCACCAATTCTCGGTAGGGAAGATACTCCTTCGAGGCAGGCATGTCTATCTTCGAGGGCGTTGTAGCTTCTGGTGTAGCGCAGCCATTACAGTTCTCCGTATGAAAATGCTTCAACACCTCCGGTACGTACTGCTTCTGGCAGTACACAATCTGCCGGTGTGGCCGGTTCATCAGGATCTCGACACCTGAGAGATATTTGACTGTGCTCATCGTCGTAAGCTCGAATGTCTCTTGTAGCGAGGCAGCGATCGTGGCACACAGGTCACGTGGTCCCATCAATAGTAGGTCGTCCACATATACAGTCAGTAGCAACTTGACTTCACGATCTTTCCTCAATGCATACTGTCCATAGTCAGAGTCCGTCCTTGTAAAGCCCATCGCAACAAGCTTCGCATGAAGCGTGCGATTCCAAGCGTCCGGTGCTTGCTCCAGTCCGTACAAGCTCTACAACAATCAGCAAATGAATCCAGGTCCCCCCAACTGGAAGCCAGGAGGCTGCTCCATGAAGATGGTCTCGTCCAAGTCTCCATACAGAAAAGCCGTCTTCACGTCAAATTGCAGTACCTCCCAACCTCTGTGTACAGCGTAGAAGATAGCCGCACGTACGGCTTCGAACCAGATCACAGGTGCATAGATCTCAGAGTAGTTAATTCAAAGTTGTGGCTTGAATCCATGGATCCCTGGTCGCGCTTTAATTCGTTTGATCCGTTCACGCTCGTCTCGCTTCACAGCAAAGACCCACCTACACGTAATCACCTTCACTTTCTTGGCATCTTTGCGGGGCACAAGTTTCCAGGTCTTGTGACCCTTCTACAATTGAAGTTCCACCAACATTGCAGCTCTCCACTGCTGCCAGAACTTGCTTGCACGTGCTTGTTTGTACGTAGTCGGGATTTGCACATCCGTAGTCATAGCCTGCACTAGGCCTACCACGTAATCCGACAATCAATCGTTTGTCTTCTGCTTCCTTCTTAATCGCTTTAGGCAGGGCTCTCTGGGTGGAGGTTGCATCTCGAAGCCACTTGTCTCCTTCTCCACCGTTGCAGGGTTCTTCTTTGTTCTGCGTCTCTTGCGCTTCCTCGCTTTCGAGCCTTCCTTGGCTTCTTCAGCAAGATCCTGCAACACGGCTGGTATTGCAACACCAGCAGTCTCCGCACTGTCCTTTCTCACAGGTGCGTCAACAATTGACGAACTCTTTCTCGAACTTAACTCAGTCTCTGCAGGTTCGTCAGCAAGTGGTACCGCCTCAAGTGGCTTCTCCACACTAGAGATGCCGTCACCCCAACCTGGAAGGTACGTCTCCATGTTGGTCTTGATGCGCCACAGGTACCGTCTTGAGTAGAGTATGGTCACCATCGAAGAATGTGTTCTCAAACAGATGCTTCATGTAGATGCCATCAGTCGTGAACTCCTCATGGAACTTCAGAATGCCACTACGGGCTGTCACCACTTGAGCTGTCACCAGGTCAATGAACTTGTAGCCTAGCGTTGACTCACTGTAATTCAGTAATAAACACAGTCTTGCACTTGCTTCCAGCTTTTTTTTCTTTGTCTGTCTTGACTCAGGGGGAACACGCACGTGTGCTAGACAGCCCCAAGTACGCAAGTCATCCAGCATAGGATTCGATTCGTATGGTTTCTGGTGCGGGGACACCAAACCCAAGGGCTTGGTGGGCAATCAGCTCAACGTCGTCACCACATGCAGAAAGGCTTCTCCCCACAAGGAGTTGGGCACGTGTGTGGCCGTCAGCATCGCTCTGATCCTTGGTAGGACCACGCATCACAATACCATTCTTTTGAGGAGAGTAGGCGCTCGTAAACTGCTGCTCAATCCCTTGGTCAACGCAGTAGTCACATAGCTCCTTGATTGCAAATTCGCCTCCTTGGTCAGAGTGTAGTCTGCGCACCTTCTTCTCAGGAAAGCGAGTTAGCAGTCTGTTTAACAGGACTTTGATGTGGAACGTTGCTTCACGCTTCTTCGTGAGTCGGAACGGCCACTTGTATATTGTAGGCTCGTCTATAATGAAGACAAACATAGTAGCTCCATCCACAGACTGTTCATTCACAGAGCAAATGTCCACCATGAGAATTTCCAAAGGTTCGGACTTCCGTGATGGAATCCGTTTATAAGACATTCTTTTCGCCTTACTGGCAGCACCAGCAGCGCACTCATAGGAAGTCAGACCTTTTGCATTCATCTTAGCTCCGACATCGAGTTTGTTTGCCAACACTTTCACCGTTTCCATGCCCATATGACCAAATCGTTGATGAAGCAGCTCCATGACTTTCTTGCTGTCCATGTCCTCTTTAAAAGCTGCCATCACCATCACTCCGGTCACTCGCTCTGCACGTAGTCGATAAATGCTGTCACGCAGCATGAACTTGAGTGATGTGCTCGGCTTTGAGATCCAAGCAGTTTGTTGGTCATCTGAACATATCAGCTTGAAGTTGCCCTTCGTCTGTAGGTAACCCAGACTAATGATGTTCACCTTCGCGTTCGGTGTGTACGCCACGTCGTCCACAGCACGTCCTCGAGCTGGCCCGTTGCCTGGTTAACAACACGCAGTAGCACAGAACCACAAACAGAAGTGTGTTCATTTGTGCCATTCGCAAAGAAAAGTCGACTAACTTGGACTTCAATCAACCCAAGTTAATTTAATGACGCTCGTATAATATAAAATATTATTTTATACAAATCAAGTGAAAATAATTAATTTTGTAACTACTGCAGTAGTACTTAATTTGTGGTTCGATACTCGATAAGCTTGGTGTGCGAGTTTAATAATTTGACGTCAGTAGCTGAATTTTTCGGCCTTCGGTACTGGATTATGGTTATTCCTTGACCTAGCTCTGCGATTGCTAACGAATTATATAGAAAAAATGTTATTAAGTACTACAGTACTGCACCCCGTTTTCGCGCCCTTGGACTGTTGATAAACTTCCAGATGTAATGATCGTAAATCCAAATAAACTATAATATGTATCTAAAATATGATATATTTGCAAATCCTATATCGCGAAAACGGGGTGCAGTACTGTACAGTATTTGTCTTCTTCTGAACATTCGGTATGTTTCACTTCTACTGAGTCTAACTAACGTGGCGACTCAGTTTTTCAAATATGTCGAGATCAGTTTCTTGGCTACCGGTTCAGAATAAAACAATATAAAACAATACTTGAGTAGTGCTACTTCGAAGTATGTATTACTATGAACAACCAGATACAGAATAGCAGAACAATCCTACCGCCCAAAGCTCACCGGAAGTCGAGCAACACGAGGTGCATCTTCTTGAGGTCGCGCCGGATCACAACCTTGCCAGGGACGAGCTGCGAGAACTTTGCGTCGTCGAAGTTGCTCGGTACTTTCAACACGACGCACTTGGCGCTTCCTTTCAGCCGCGAGCAGATATCGTGCAGTGGGAAGCCTCCGAGGAAGAGGTCCACCTTGTCGAGGCCCTTGTACTCCGGTCCTCCCCATGGCGGATCCAGGAACACCACGTCCTGCTCCAGCTCCAGCATCACGTCTAGGTAGTTCGCATAGATACACTTTACGTTCGTCTTTTGGAGGACCTGCAGGTTATGTCGCAGCATTTGCATGCGCGTAGAATCGTTCTCAACGGCATTTACGTGCGTAAAAAAATCGCAAAAAGACAGCACATTTCCTCCAACGCACGCGGTGCCGTCCGTCACTACCAATGAGTATTTTTTGCATTTTTCGGTGGTCGCAGTGCCATCGTCGTGAACAGAGCTACCACTCTCCGACGTAGTGCCATCCTTGGACGGGAAAAAGAGATCCAGAACGAATTGGGAAATCTTGGTGGCCATCTCGAAGTCTGTTACGCTGAACTCTGCAACCTCATCAACTTGCAACTGGCTCCGGAGATCGTAGTCCAAGTTTCGGAAGAAAAAATCGCGTTTATCGCCACATTTCCTTGGTCGAGGCGAACCATGAGAGTCTGACCCAGTGCGCGGCGATTGGGGCGAATCTAATCTCGAGGTGGACCGTCGGTTAGCGCGGTGGCCTTGATGTGCGTTCCCGCGTGGACTTGACTGAGTCAATGACTCCGTACTCTCGCTAGGATAACGCGGTTTTACGCCGCCACGATGTGCAGTCATGCACGACGTACTCTTCGTTTTCCTCATAGCGTAGTCTGGTGGGTGCATTGCACCAGTCTGCTTATGGTTCTGCGAATTTCCGCGGGCTTGCCTCCCGTTATGCTCTGCAACTGCGTCGTCCACATGCAAATTATCCGCTAGCCTCTGCAAGCTGCTGCGTCGAGCAACATCACTTTTCCCTAGCAAA